ACTACTGCCTCACCATACAGGTACTGCCTCACCGTACAGGTACTGCCTCACCATACTGCCTCACCGTACAGGTACTGCCTCACCGTACAGGTACTACTGCCTCACCATACAGGTACTGCCTCACCGTACAGGTACTACTGCCTCACCATACAGGTACTGCCTCACCGTACAGGTACTTCTGCCTCACCGTACAGGTACTGCCTCACCATACAGGTACTACTGCCTCACCGTACAGGTACTGCCTCACCATACAGGTACTGCCTCACCATACAGGTACTGCCTCACCGTACAGATACTGCCTCACCGTACAGGTACTGCCTCACCATACAGGTACTGCCTCACCGTACAGGTACTGCCTCACCGTACAGGTACTGCCTCACCATAAAGGTACTGCCTCACCATACAGGTACTGCCTCACCGTACAGGTACTGCCTCACCATACAGGTACTGCCTCACCGTACAGGTACTACTGCCTCACCATACAGGTACTGCCTCACCGTACAGGTACTACTGCCTCACCGTACAGGTACTGCCTCACCGTACAGGTACTGCCTCACCATACAGGTACTGCCTCACCATACAGGTACTGCCTCACCATACAGGTACTACTGCCTCACCGTACAGGTACTGCCTCACCATACAGGTACTACTGCCTCACCGTACAGGTACTGCCTCACCATACAGGTACTGCCTCACCGTACAAGTACTACTGCCTCACCATACAGGTACTGCCTCACCGTACAGGTACTGCCTCACCGTACAGGTACTGCCTCACCGTACAGGTACTACTGCCTCACCATACAGGTACTGCCTCACCGTACAGGTACTGCCTCACCATACAGGTACTGCCTCACCGTACAGGTACTACTGCCTCACCATACAGGTACTGCCTCACCGTACAGGTACTACTGCCTCACCGTATAGGTACTGCCTCACCATACAGGTACTACTGCCTCACCGTACAGATACTGCCTCACCGTACAGATACTGCCTCACCATACAGGTACTGCCTCACCATACAGGTACTGCCTCACCATACAGGTACTGCCTCACCATACAGGTACTGCCTCACCGTACTGCCTCACCATACAGGTACTACTGCCTCACCGTACAGGTACTGCCTCACCGTACTGCCTCACCATACAGGTACTACTGCCTCACCGTACAGGTACTGCCTCACCGTACAGGTACTGCCTCACCATACTGCCTCACCATACAGGTACTGCCTCACCATATAGGTACTGCCTCACCGTACTGCCTCACCATACAGGTACTGCCTCACCATACAGGTACTGCCTCACCATATAGGTACTACTGCCTCACCATACTGCCTCACCATACAGGTACTGCCTCACCGTACAGGTACTGCCTCACCATACAGGTACTGCCTCACCATACAGGTACTGCTTCACCGTACTGCCTCACCATACAGGTACTACTGCCTCACCGTACAAGTACTGCCTCACCGTACTGCCTCACCATACAGGTACTACTGCCTCACCGTACAGGTACTGCCTCACCATACTGCCTCACCATACAGGTACTGCCTCACCGTACTGCCTCACCATACAGGTACTACTGCCTCACCATACAGGTACTGCCTCACCATATAGGTACTACTGCCTCACCGTACAGATACTGCCTCACCGTACAGGTACTGCCTCACCATACAGGTACTGCCTCACCATACAGGTACTGCCTCACCATACAGGTACTACTACCTCACCGTACAGGTACTGCCTCACCGTACAGGTACCGCCTCACCGTACAGGTACTGCCTCACCATACAGGTACTGCCTCACCATACAGGTACTACTACCTCACCGTACAGGTACTGCCTCACCGTACAGGTACTGCCTCACCATACAGGTACTGCCTCACCGTACAGGTACTACTACCTCACCGTACAGGTACTGCCTCACCGTACAGGTACCGCCTCACCATACAGGTACTGCCTCACCGTACAGGTACTGCCTCACCATGCAGGTACTGCCTCACGGGGAAGCTCTAGTCCTCACGGAGCCTGTCTGGGTTCGCTCTGGTCTGCCTCTTCCGTGATGAGGCAGACATCGGGAGTGAAACGAATGCAAATATATAACACGGCCCTAAACATGTTTTGAATCAGTCTATACCGGGGACTTCTGAAACCACGGCGTCCTCAAAGGAAGAATGCACTGACTATTTGAGGTCAACGCATGGTCTCTCTCTGGTCTCTCTCTGGTCTCTCTCTGATCTCTCTCAGGTCTCTGGTCTCTCTCTGGTCTCTCTCAGGTCTCTCTCTGATATCTCTCTCTGATCTCTCTCTTGTCTCTCTCTGATCTCTCTCTGGTCTCTATGGTCTCTCTCTTGTCTCTCTCTGGTCTCTCTCTGGTCTCTGGTCTCTCTCTGATCTCTCTCTGATATCTCTCTCTGATCTCTCTCTTGTCTCTCTCTGATCTCTCTCTGGTCTCTATGGTCTCTCTCTTGTCTCTCTCTGGTCTCTCTTTGGTCTCTCTCTGGTCTCTCTCTGGTCTCTCTCTGGTCTCTCTTTGGTCTCTCTCTGGTCTCTCTCTGGTCTCTCTCTGGTCTCTCTCCGGTCTCTCTCAGGTCTCTTGTCTCTCTCTGGTCTCTCTCTTATCTCTCTCTGGTCTCTCTCTGGTCTCTCTCTAGTCTCTCTCTAGTCTCTCTCTGGTCTCTCTCTGGTCTCTCTCTGGTCTCTCTCTGGTCTCTCTCTAGTCTCTCTCTGGTCCTGAGAAACATATTTTTAGATTATGACCCCGACCTTGTAATGTCACAGTTTTGGAAAGAGAAGCCTTAAAGTCAGACCTCTGAGCTCAGTCCTGTCAAACTAGTCTGGATCTTTTATGACACTTTTGATGGAACTATGGTTAAAGCTGCATTACCTCACTTTATTTTTGTATTCATTCGTTAAATTCAATCCATATCCATGCAGTGCGTTGGGACATACGTCCTTTTGAAGAAAAAGTAGCGCTGGTTTGTTTTTGTGAAACAAGGAAAAGAATGTGTTTCGGGACCAGATTGTGACCAATCACAGCGGACCCCTGGCCCCCACCCTCAGCTGAGGTAAACAAGCGGCGGAGGCTAACCTGATACTTCCTGTGTCTTCGTAACCGGTTACTGCTTACTCAGCGAAACAGCCAAAAGAAAGTCTTGTTCCTTCGTGCTTCCCGGTTCTATCATTCTATGGTCCCGCCACGTTCAAATATTGATCCACATTGTGAGAGGTGAGCTCCGTAAACACATAAGCACAGACTGAGGGGGTAGTGGGGGGTGATAGCTTCGAGAGTGCGGGGAGGGCGAGCAGAAGAGCGAGGCCAGCGCTCACATTCAAAAATTTCACAAAGTGAGTTAGTGCAGCTTTAAACCTGGACTTGTCTTAACAGCAGTCTGCACAAGTCTCTGACTCTGTCTCTGTCCTCAGGTCCTCCAGAGACAGGCCACAGTCTTCCTGTGCGAAGCCAGGAGCTCGTCCCAGCAGCCTCTGCACCAGCCAACCCTGACCTCCAGTCTGCAGCCGCCTCCCAGCTTCTCCATCCCCCAGATCCACACTCTGGCCCCTCCAGAAGGTAAAGAGCTGGACTGGTCTCTCTCTGGTCTCTCTGGTCTCTGTCTGGTTTTTCTCTGGTCTCTCTCTGGTCTCTGTCTGGTTTCTCTCTGGTCTCTTTCTGGTCTCTCTCTGATCACTCACTGCTCTCTGTGGTCTCTTTCTGGTCTCTCTCTCTTGATGTTTTTGCCAAAACAGAGAATCAAATCGTTCAAACACAGGAAATGCACCAGAGGGAAAAAAACACATAGGTAGACCCAGGACTGAGGCTGTAGACCCAGGACTGAGGCTGTAGACCCAGGACTGAGGCTGTAGACCCAGGACTGAGGCTGTAGACCCAGGACTGAGGCTATAGACCCAGGACTGAGGCTGTAGACCCAGGACTGAGGCTGTAGACCCAGGACTGAGGCTGTAGACCCAGGACTGAGGCTGTAGACCCAGGACTGAGACTGTAGACCCAGGACTGAGGCTGTAGACCCAGGACTGAGGCTGTAGACCCAGGACTGAGACTGTAGACCCAGGACTGAGGCTGTAGACCCAGGACTGAGGCTGTAGACCCAGGACTGAGGCTATAGACCCAGGACTGAGGCTGTAGACCCAGGACTAAGACTGTAGACCCAGGACTGAGGCTGTAGACCCAGGACTGAGGCTGTAGACCCAGGACTGAGGCTGTAGACCCAGGACTGAGACTGTAGACCCAGGACTGAGGCTGTAGACCCAGGACTGAGACTGTAGACCCAGGACTGAGGCTGAAGATGATGAAAGATCTCTGATGACTTCCATTGCTTCCACTGATTTGTTATCGTAGCGTCTGGGTCTGTGTTGATTCACTTGGGCCTCTGTTGATTCACTTTGCTGAAACGTGGTAATCTCTGGCTCTTGTTATTCGGCGCAGGTGGAAAAAGCCATTTCTCATTCCCGCCTTTAATAACGGCTCGACCCGGCGCCGATCTGATAATGTTGCTTGATCTTTTACTCTACTTTCAATTAACTTGCTGCTGCAACCGCACTTTCTGTTCGGCTGCAGCAGGAAACAGCCAGCGCATGTGGGAGCCGAGAGAAACCGGAAATAATAAACTGTATTTTTGGATAAACTGTATTTTCTGTGGATGCAAAAAGTGTGTATCACGTACCATAGTTTCTCTCTTAGGACTTACTCTCTTACTCTCTGGTATCTCTCTGGTATCTCTCTATGGTCTCTCTCTGGTCCCTCTCTATGGTCTCTCTCTGGTCTCTCTCTGGTATCTCTCTATGGTCTCTCTCTGGTCCCTCTCTATGGTCTCTCTCTGGTCTCTCTCTGGTCTCTCTATGGTCCCTCTCTATGGTCTCTCTCTGGTCCCTCTCTATGGTCTCTCTCTGGTCTCTCTCTGGTATCTCTCTATGGTCTCTCTCTGGTCCCTCTCTATGGTCTCTCTCTGGTCCCTCTCTATGGTCTCTCTCTGGTCTCTCTCTCTGGTCTCTCTCTGGTCTCTCTCTGGTCCCACTTTGGTCTCTCTCAGGACTCTTTGGTCTCTCTATGGTCTCTCTCTCTCTGGTTTCACTCTGGTCTCTCTTGTCTCTCCCTTCTCTCTCTCTGCTCTCTCTGGTCTCACTTTTGCTCTCTCTATGGTCTTTCTCTGGTCTCTTTCTGGTCTTTTCTGGTCTCTTCCTGGTCTTTTCTGGTCTCTTTCTGGTCTCTTTCTGGTCTTTTCTGGTCTTAGAAGACTTATTTTGAGAGTGGTAAGTTAGTCTTCCCTGTGGTGAGAAGTCGACACGGGTCTAAACCAAACGCCTTCTGTTGCTCCAGAAGCCGCTCAGTGGTTTCCGTGGCACAGTCTGAGGAATGAGCCGTATCCATTTCTCTGGAACAGTCTCGGATCTCGTCGTGTTTCTCTGGGGCTTCTCTTGTCGCAGTAAAAGGTCAAAGTCGTTGTTGCTTCGCCCAGAGGCCCAGACAAAGTGTTAGAAAAGAGTCAAGGTTATCGCACTCACGCAAACTGTTCTAGGGTCTGATGACAGCGGGGAAGATCCTGGACATTTATGGTCATTTATGGACATTTATGGTCATCTGCCCCTAATAATAATAATGTATTGGTTTCATACAGTGCTTTCTCAGCTCTCAAAGACGCTTCACATGTCATTCACTCCATACGCGATGAGATAAACTATTACTGTAGCCACAGCTGCCCTGGGGCACACTGACAGAAGCGAGGCAACCAGTCTGTGCCATCAGCCCCTCCCACCACCACCAACCATTCACACACACACCAGACTCATTCTAATGATCAAAGAGAGACCAGAGAAGACCAGAGAGAGACCAGAGAGAGACCATAGAGAGACCAGAGAGAGACCAGAGAGAGACCAGAGAGAGACCAGAGAGAGGCCAGAGAGAGACCAGAGAGAGGCCAGAGAGAGACCAGAGAGAGACCAGAGAGAGACCAGAGAGAGACCAGAGAGAGACCAGAGAGAGACCATAGAGAGACCATAGAGAGACCAGAGAGAGACCAGAGAGAGACCAGAGAGAGACCAGAGAGAGACCAGAGAGAGGCCAGAGAGAGGCCAGAGAGAGACCAGAGAGAGACCATAGAGAGACCAGAGAGAGACCAGAGAGAGACCATAGAGAGACCAGAGAGAGACCAGAGAGAGACCAGAGAGAGACCAGAGAGAGACCATAGAGAGACCAGAGAGAGACCAGAGAGAGACCAGAGAGAGACCATAGAGAGACCAGAGAGAGACCATAGAGAGACCAGAGAGAGACCAGAGAGAGACCAGAGAGAGACCATAGAGAGACCAGAGAGAGACCAGAGAGAGACCAGAGAGAGACCATAGAGAGACCAGAGAGAGACCATAGAGAGACCAGAGAGAGACCAGAGAGAGACCATCGAAATTAATACAATACAGGAATCTCTTTGTCTTAATCTTAATCTTAACAATCGTACCTGTGCTCTGTACCTATGTCTCTCCTCAGAGCTGAAGCCTCTACCTCAGAGCCGCCGCAACACCCTGGGCTGCCTGCGGGGGGCGGACGCGAGCAGCATCCTGAGGAGCATCTCTGTGGGGGACAGCATCAGTGTCCTGCCCTGTTCTGAGGCGGGGTCCCGGCTCTCGTCCCCCGCCGTGTCCTCCACCACCGTGGGACAGCCCCGAGGCAGCAGCAGCGAGGGCAGCGGGCGCAGAGGCATGATGCAGGCCATCAAGAACGAGAGGAGAGCCTCCAAGGTCAGACTGGACTGGACTGAGCTGGACTGGACTGGACTGGACTGGACTGGTGGATCTCAGAGAGCAGTTTTTAAACCCAACCAGCTGTAAATCTAATCATGTGTGTGATACATTTGGAGGATAGACCAAATAACACTTAAAACTTGTCAAATTATAACCATTTCTTGAATAGAGGTGATCGATCCAGAATCTTACCCTATCTATGTGGTTGACAGTAGTAAACAGAAAGTTAGCATCACTGCACTTACAGATCTATGCTCCTCGTTAGCTTCTCTTCCGTACCACCAATTCAGCCATATCCACAGAACGGTATTGGCTTCATGGTTTCCCTCGGCGACCGGCGGGACAACGACTTATGGCCATCTGGTTCGGGCCCGGTTAGACACAGTCTTGTTCCTAAAAGTGTCTCACAACACTGCTTTCCTCCACTTAAGCATTAGTTACTGGGGTTTATTCCTGGATCTACAGCCCGTCAGTCTGTGGGAGTGGATCCCTCTCTTAACGTGTTTCTCCCTGAGGTTTCTCCTTTTTCCTACTGGGGTTTAGAGTTGTTCCGTTATAGTCGAAGCAGGAGGGTCTGTTGTAACCCGTTCTAGGTCTAACAAAAAGGACAGTGGTGATGATCCAGGGCATTTAGGGACATTAACAATTCAGTCATTCTAGCGTTAAAATGAATCTATGTGTAAACTCTCATAATCCAACTGCCACTTAATCCGACTGCCATCACTGCTGCCACCACTACTGCCACATTATCCTGGAACTTCAGGCACATCGTTTTTTGGGGGTCGCAAGCTCAGTTTCTATAAAACTCCTGCATACGTCATGCAGTATCCCCGCCAGGGTCTAATTGCCAAACCTTATGCAATAAATATACAAGTACACAATCTAAGTCTGCTGGTGCTTTTTCAACCATCTACACAATAAATATTTTAACGCAATCCTCATCTTAAATCTCTCCAGATTGAATAAAGTCCAGCCACATTTTCTGCTTTGCTTTGTCACATATTTACACCCGACAATACCTTTTCTCTAAGTTGACGTGATGCTAACACAACAGGAGCTGTAAAACCAACAGTCTGTGGGACTAGCAGGACTCAGGACAGATTGTAAAGGATTTTAGTGATAGGAGAAACCAGAGCTGACATGGGGATAACATGCAAACTCCACACAGACTGGAGGTGGAACTGAACCCAGGGCCTTTCTTCCTCCTGCTGTGTGCAGGTGCTGGGGATCGTCTTCTTCCTCTTCCTCATCATGTGGTGCCCCTTCTTCATCACTAACGTCACGTCGGTGTTGTGTCGAGACGCGTGCAATGAGTCTCTGCTGCACGAGATGCTGAACGTGTTCGTGTGGGTGGGCTACATCTCGTCTGGAGTGAACCCTCTGGTCTACACGCTGTTCAACCGCACGTACCGCCGCGCTTTCTCCAACTACATCCGCTGCAGGTTCGTGTCTGAATGAGCTTCACTACGCCATCGTGTGGACAAACAATGTATTACATGCTAAGAGCTTACGGTGGGGTCAAAGTGCTCTCAAACTGGGGGAAATCTCCTCTTTCTTGCTAGTTCCATCACAAAAAATAGGAGTCGGAATAACCCAAATAATAATAACAATAATATTACATTTTATTTGTGGGCGCCTGTCAAAATTCCCAACCTTAAGCCTAGTGTACATCGACAGTGAAACTGGAGATAACTAGTTTCAAGGCGGCTTTTGGCGACTGAGAGGAGATGATGGAGATGATCAGTTGAAATCGGTCGATGTGCGCGCTCTTACAACTGGAGATGATCAGTCGGTCTCCAGTTTCAGTCATTTGCCCGTGTTCTACTTTTCGGCAACTAGTTGTCCTCAGTTTCGGAGATATGACCCAATGTGCGCGCTCCATGCGCCGCTCCAACAACGTGTGTGTATTGCGTGTATTGCGCCCTCTACAGTTTATGTCAGAAAACACACTGTAGTTGAGGCCAGTTGCTGTCGATGTAGGCGCTGTTATTCCCCAGACTGACCTGATACAGGAGTTGCCTGTTTTTGTCAGATTGTCGATGTGTGCGGGGCAGAAACTCATATGCGACGGATATAATCAGCTGCCAGTCCGATGTACGCTAGGCTTTACACCTTATACCTTACAGGCAGCATAAAAAACAGTATAAAACACACATTACAAATACAATACAATACAAGGCCCAGAAGAACAGAATGTTTCTGTCCTTGTATTGTTTTTTTTTTGTTGTCTGTTATTTTATTGAATTTATTTGCTGTAATTTGTTATGTTTTTTATTTGTTACACTTTACTGTAACTGCATTTATTTGACAACCGCTGCTGCTACTTGTGTTGCTATTTTTGAGGACCCTCCTGAAAACGAGATGATGCATCTCAAGAGGCTATTCCTCGTAATAAAGAAATGTAAATGAAATGAAGTAAAATACAGTGTGGAGTGGCAGAAGTTCTATAGACAGATTTGAGAAATATGGAGGATTACGTGGGATAGGCGCGTCTGAAGAGCTCTGTTTTGAGTCGAGATTTAAATGTGGTGATAAGTAAGTAATGTGTATTTATATAACGCCGTTCACAGACCAGAGTCACAAAGCAGTTTACAATTGTTATTTTGGGCATTAGTCTCTCACTCCACACAGAGATGGGAGCGGGGCCAGTACACGAGGCCATGCCAGACCTATTATACATATTTTTAGTGGTAGGGGAACATTTTGGACATTTTGGCTGGAGGGACAGAGCGCAGAGAGGCAGGGGAGGAGCAGAGTGGGCGTGTTTGGTTCTTTGGGCATAGTCACGAATATGGGGAAAGTAGTATTTATTTTCATGGATTACTTCACATTTATCATTCATGGGCGGGCGCAGTGACGCACCTTTAAGTTCTGCATAACGCACCTGTGACTGTAACATGCAATTAACAAACAAACCAAGCCATCGTCAGGCGCACACAGCCCGTTGGTATGTACAAAGCTCATAAAACACCCAGCGCAGTAACGTAGCGATGTACCAGCATTGTTTAGGTCAGTGTGTGTGGCTCATCCGCGGCACTTTGTGCTGGTGTAGTGGGGTGAGTTAGTGAGAGCGCACAGCAGCCAGAGCACTCACTGTGACCGTGGTCATAATCACAGATACAGGTGGACTGTAGCAGTAGCAGTAGTAGACTGCACGGGTGGTAGTGTAGACACGTGTGGAGCGCTGTATGTGTGCGATAGTTTGTTTTGGTTCGTGCTGACACATGAGAGAGCAGAGGCACGCATAGCGCAGGCGCACTCGGCGGCGGTGGTTTGCCGCGGCTACACGGGGAAATGCGCGATAATGTGTTTGTTTGCTTTACAAATGTTTATTCTGTATTACATGTAAATAAGTACTAAATGTTTATTTACAAATAACAATGTTCAGTTTAGTGGCAAATAATTTAAAGGGACAATTAGTGGTAATTATTTATTTCTTTATTCTTTCCAGGTTTATGACCTGTGGTCAAACATTTGTTCTAATAAATTAACAAAATATGACAAACACGAGTCATGCCATGTGTGCTGCCTGCCGTTAGCCCCTTCGGAGGGCTATAACATAAAAAGTCCGAACAGTCATAAACCAGTGGCCCACCAGTGAAACTTGTGGCCTGGTTCTGATGCCAATACACAGCCTGAAGACCAAGACAATAAATCTGGTCTGGCCTCCCAGTTATTAAAGCAAAACCCTTTACACCTGCCTGCTCATCTTATTTGCAAATTCAAATTCAAAGAATAAAGCAAATTCAAAGAATAAAGCAAATTCAAAGAATAAAGCAAATTCAAAGAATAAAGCAAATTCAAAGGATAAAGCAAATTGTCAAGATGGCAGATAAGGAGATGATGGAAAGGCTGCGGCAGAAGCGTACGGCAGCCCAGGCCGCGTTCACCAAAAAGGCAAACAATCTTACCTCCAGGGTCAATCCTCTAGAAGAAGGGGATGTTAAGGCTGAGTGGATGAACTTCAAAGAGGATCATAACAGAGTCACAGATTTAGGATTTGAGTACTCCACAGCCCTACGTGAACTAGAAGACGAAGAGGCCAGTGTAAAGGCGAATCAGATTGACGAGCGAACGCACGAATGTGATAAAAAGTTTGACGGTGTTAAACTCCTCGTCCTAAACAACTTATGGACTAGATTTGCAAAGGATAAAATTTCCGATCTTGTAGAGGAGGCTAACTTAGCCCTGGATCAGGCCGAAGCAAAGGACTATCAACTGCTATCTAGGATGGAGCGGGAGCTGATCAACAAAGACCTGGAACGAGAAGTCTTTGAAGTCAACAGTTTAGTGACTGAGTGGTCAGACTTAATTCCTCATGCAGAGCTTGTAGAATCAAGAGGCTCCTGCAGGAAGCTGAGAAAGCGGCAAATGAAACTGTGGGATAAATGGGCGTGGCGACGTAACAGTTGGTCTGATGAAGAAGAGGCAAAAGTAAACGTAGATATGGCAGCCCAGACCATGGAGCCATCAGCATCTACTAGCTCTGTTCCTGCTCCTGACCATAAACTGTCCCGTCCCCAAGACAGCCACACTCCCATAAGTGGAGCCCAGCGTAACCCAACCAGCGCGCCCACCTCTGTCAGTGAGGGTGCGCTTCACGCTCAAGGTGCTCACAGCATGTACCCAGGGCCACTGAGCTTTAAGCCCCAAATCACTTTGGAACGAGCACGTCTGCCTACGTTTTCAGGTAACATGAGGGATTACTACCGATGGAAAGCTGAGTGGGAAGACCTGCAGCAGCTGGGGAACCCTCATGGCTTGGAAAACGTAAGAAAGTTCCACCTATTGGGAAGCTTAGATGACAGAGTCAAAAGAGACCTTGTGCTGTCCAGCTGTGGATCTGCCAATGACGTGTTCAGACTCCTCGACAACAAATATGGGAATAAGCCAAAAATAGTGCTACTTATCTCAAAAGAAGTCCATGGGTTACCGCCTGTCAAGGGAAACAACCCTAGAAAGACAATTGAACTAATACAAGCTGTTGAAAGGGCTCTCAGGGACCTCCAAGTCCTGGGGGAGGAAGACGCAGTGAAAAATCGTTTAGTGGCACAGTCGATTGAGAGTAAGCTTCCAGACTCACTAAAGGAGAAGTGGCTAACTCACAAGAATGACCCCTCGAGCGGCTTTTCCCCCAGACATCACTTTGACTGTCTACTAGAGTACCTGAAGAAACAGGAAGACATTCTTGAAGAGTTGGATCAGCTACAGCCCTGCTCAAAAGACTATGAGAGGTCACAGGAGAAATCCAAAGAAAGGAAAGCCTTCACAAAGGCAACATCAACCCAAAAGGATACTCTGTCAAGTTCATGCATAGTCTGCGGAGAGGAAGGGCATGAAGGAAGACTCTTTGCCTGCAAAGCCTTCAAGAGGCTCAACCTGTCAAGTAAGAAAGCTCTACTGAAAAAGATAGGAGCATGCCTCAGATGCTTGCGCCTCCATGATGAAGACAGTGCGTGCACCGAGAGGTTTCTATGCTCTAAAAAAGACTGTCAAAAAAGAGGGGCCTCAGACCACAACTACTTACTCTGTCCGCTGCCACCACAAACAAAGAAGAAAGAATTAAAAAACGTGGAACAAAGCAAGGTCAAAGTACAAATGAAAGGACTTGGATTAACAGAAAGACAAGAAGAAGTTCTCGCCAAACTCTCTCCAGAACTGAAAGCAGAGGTCAAAGAAGCCTTCTCAAACAAAATCACAACGACAGTGTGCACAAGATCAGAAAGTAAACCAAAAGAGTACCCAGTCGTGATGATGCTACTTTCTGTGACAACAAATTCAGGCCATCTTGTTGGTACACTGATCGATCTTGCTTTAGACACTAATTACATCTCGAACGAGGCTGCTGAACGTTTAAAGCTGAAAGGCAAGAAGGTCAAGTTGATTGTCCAAGGAGTTGGAGGAATGGAGAAAACGGTTGCAACCAAAAGGTATACTCAGAGACTAAGAGTAAAAACTCAGAAAGGCACAGTGACAGAGCATAAGCTCTTGTGTTACGGTCTGGAGCACATTGCAAAAGTGAACCAGGCAGTGACACCACAGCAACTTCTCAAGTTCTTTCCTGACATTGCTGCTAACGACTTGGTCCGCCCCGAGAAGATCGACCTTCTGATAAGTCACAGAGAAGGCCGCCTGGTCCCACAGCCAATGAAAGTACAAGGAGACCTCGTCCTTTGGGATGGTCCTCTTGGACTAACTGTCGGTGGGGCTCATCCAGACCTCTTCGAGGAAGTAGACTTTGCAGTGTACAAGTCTGAAACGCACTTTGCTCGCTCCATGAGAGCAGCCTCGAAAGTGTACAGAGAAGTCGTTGTCAATTCATCTGACTCTGCCAAAGTAGAAGAGACCATCTTCCGGAGTACTGCAGTCACGAGCAAAGAAGCTTTTGAGTGGTTCAAGTGGGACAGTGTCGGTGCTGCCTGTGACCCCCGGTGTGGTGGCTGTAAGTGCGGTAGATGTCCCCCTGGTGGCAAAGAAATGACACTCGGAGAGGAAAGAGAACTTGAAAAGATCAAAGAATGTCTCACCTACGTGCAAGCAGACAAACACAGCGACTCTCCTCACTGGGACGCTGCATATCCATGGAAAGGTGACCCTGCAACGTTACCAGATAACCGACATGCAGTAAAGGCAACTTTCCTGAACACCGAGAAACGTCTTGAGAAGGAGCCGAAGTGGAAGGCTGCGTATAAGGAGCAAATCCGTGACATGATCTCAAGAGGAGCTGCAACTGAGCTAACTGAAGAGGAACTTGCAAGCTGGACGGGGCCGAAGTGGTACATCAGCCACTTAGTAGCACCTAATCCACACTCGTCTTCTACTCCAGTAAGGATTGTATGGAACAGCAGCCAAGAGTTTTGTGGGGTGAGCTTGAACGACCTTCTGTACAAGGGTCCAGATGTCCTCAATGCAATTAGAGGTGTCCTTCTAAGATTCCGGACAGGATTATACGCCGCCTTAGGGGACGCAAAGAAAATGTATAATTCTGTATGGCTAAAGGACAAAGAAGTTCACCTCCACAGATTCCTTTGGAGGGACAACCCAGAGGATGAAATCCAGACATTCGCTGTAGTCAGAGTGAACATTGGGGATAAACCTGCAGGGTGCATCACTCAGGTTGCCATGAGAGAGACTGCGAGCCTACCACAGTTTGCCGACATGCTTGAAGAGCGCCGTGTACTGGTAGAAGATAGCTATGTCGATGACATACTGACATCCCACAACGACCTCCAGACGTTGGAGAAGATCACCAAAGGCATCGCAAAGATCTTAAAGTCTGGCGGCTTCTCCCTAAAACCGTGGGTGTTGACGGGCCAAAGTGGGAGGTCAGAAACCCAGGCAAGTTCCAGCAACAATGGGAAGTCTTTGCCTAGAACCTTGGTATTGCCAAATCAGATGCGAGACGAAGAAAACAAAGCACTGGGTGTTGGCTATGAACCAGAGACTGACAAACTTTGTGTAATGACGTCCATAAATTTCTCAAAGAAAAGAGGAAAGATGAGGACTGGCATTGACTTAAAAGAAGATGAAGTACGTCATAACACTCCCGACCCGTTAACTCGTCGGACACTTCTAAGTCAGGTCGCAGGATTCTACGATCCTATTGTTCTAGCCACACCAGCCAAGCAAAAGGGAGTAATACTCGTAAGGGAGGCTTACCAAGAAGCAAGGATAGGAAATCCAAGTAAGGACACTTGGGATGACCCACTGTCGCCAAAACTCCGGGAGGCTGCCATAAGACTCTTTGAGGGGTATGTGAGACTTGGCCAGATAAGGTTTGAAAGAAGCCTCACACCCTTTGGAGCCGTGGGCCACCCCATGGGTATTACGTTCTCTGATGGGAGTGAGGCGTCCTACGGTGCTGTGCTTTATCTCCACTGGGAGACGCAAGAAGGGGTTGTTGTGAGGCTTGTCGAATCAAAGGCAAAACTAACCCCTCTCGACCAGAAAGGGGATGTAATCAAGGCTGAGTTATGTGGCGCTGTCTTCGCAACTCGTCTAAAAAGATACTTTGAGAAACATTGCCGCCTGGAGGTCTCTCTCTGGGTCCATTTTGTGGATAGCCAAACTATCTTGGGGGCAATCCAGAAGGACAGTTATGGCTACCAAACATTCTTCTCTAATCGAATCGGTGAGATACAATTGGCTGGACCAGTAGAAGACTGGCGGTGGGTGGACGGTAACCTCAACATTTCTGACATCGTCACTCGGGGAGCCACTCCTGAAGAGCTTGACGAAAAGTCAGAATGGCAGCAAGGCCCTGAGTTTCTAAAATGTCCTGAAGCTGATTGGCCTGTGAAGACGGCCGATGAGATCGTGACCAAAGTTGCTGTTGAAGTGAAAAGGTTACCACGCTGGATCTTTTCAGTCCTTTCGAAGTAAGAGATGCGGTCAAGAAACGGACCATGAAAAAGATCTGGGGTATCGTGTTCTGTTGCATGGCTTCCAGAGCTGTCCATGCCGATCTTGTAGACGACCTGTCAGCTGAGAGCTTTCTTCAGGCGTACTCGAGATTCACCGCTTTGAGAGGACATCCATGGAAGTTATGGTCTGACAGGGGCACAAATTTTGTGGGTGCCAAATCTGCGCTAAGAGACCTTCACAGGCACTTGGACAGTCTGCAGAAAGTGTCGATCGAGGACATTGCAGCAAAAAATGGAACTGAATGGCAGTGGGTCTTCCACCCCGCTGACTCGCCCCACAGAAATGGAGCAGCAGAGGCAGCTGTCAAACTAATGAAAAGAGCTCTCAATAGCCTCGGCGGAACAACCAGCTGCTATACCTGGGGGGAGTTCCAAACTTTGCTGTACTCGGCAGCCAACCTCACCAATGAGCGACCTATTGATGCCAGAGCGCAGGAGCAAGAGGAAACTGTGGAGTACTTGACTCCGAACTCCCTCATCCTAGGGCGCACTGGACGAGCTGGAGATATGCACGGGGTCAACTTGCGCCAAGGGTGGGTCCCTTGGCGCAGGTTGAGGGCGGTCCAAGCAGGAGTCGACAAGTTTTGGTCTAAGTGGAGTGAACTAGCAGGACCAAACTTGTTTATCCGGCCCAAGTGGCATAGAGCAGAAAGAAATGTCCAAGTTGGAGATCTAGTTTGGATCGCTGACCAGAATGCCCTGCGAGGACAGTTCCGGCTCGGTCGGATGGTCGTCACCTATCCGGACAAGACCGGAGTGGTACGGGATGTCAACGTCGCCACCTGCGTAGGCCTTCCTGCCCCCCGTGTTTCCAGAACCCATAGACGAGACTGTACCTTGCCCTCTACTGTCGTCCTACGCAGAGATATACGAAGATTGGTCGTGATGATTCCAGTAGAAGACCAGCTCAAGGTATGAAGTCCTCACCAGGGGGCCCAAAAGACTTTTAATGTGTTTAGTTAGTGGGTCACCCTGGGAGGCGGCCGAGTGAGTCAAGGGCAAACCTACACTCGGTAGGAGGCAAGGTGGTGGGGCCTACCTCCTTAGTTAGTACTTTAGGATTTATGATTTGCTAACGCCCGTACGGATTGGCCTAGATTCTACTAAAGACTCATGTGACTGTTTAGTGGCCTCCTTGGATTTAAATCAGTCGGCCAAGTGGGAGGTGTTTGGTTCTTTGGGCATAGTCACGAATATGGGGAAAGTAGTATTTATTTTCATGGATTACTTCACATTTATCATTCATGGGCGGGCGCAGTGACGCACCTTTAAGTTCTGCATAACGCACCTGTGACTGTAACATGCAATTAACAAACAAACCAAGCCATCGTCAGGAGCACACAGCCCGTTGGTATGTACAAAGCTCATAAAACACCCAGCGCAGTAAAGTAGCGATGTACCAGCATTGTTTAGGTCAGTGTGTGTGGCTCATCCGCGGCACTTTGTGCTGGTGTAGTGGGGTGAGTTAGTGAGAGCGCACAGCAGCCAGAGCACTCACTGTGACCGTGGTCATAATCACAGATACAGGTGGACTGTAGCAGTAGCAGCAGTAGACTGCACGGGTGGTAGTGTAGACACGTGTGGAGCGCTGTATGTGTGCGATAGTTTGTTTTGGTCCGTGCTGACACATGAGAGAGCAGAGGCACGCATAGCGCAGGCGCACTCGGCGGCGGTGGTTTGCCGCGGCTACACGGGGAAATGCGCGATAATGTGTTTGTTTGCTTTACAAATGTTTATTCTGTATTACATGTAAATAAGTACTAAATGTTTATTTACAAATAACAATGTTCAGTTTAGTGGCAAATAATTTAAAGGGACAATTAGTGGTAATTGTTTATTTCTTTATTCTTTCCAGGTTTATGACCTGTGGTCAAACATTTGTTCTAATAAATTAACAAAATATGACAAACACGAGTCATGCCATGTGTGCTGCCTGCCGTTAGCCCCTTCGGAGGGCTATAACATAAAAAGTCCGAACAGGGCGGGAGGGTGTGTATGTCTGAAGGAGATCTGACAGGTATGGAGGTGCGAGGTTATGAAGTGAATACACAAAATGTGAAGGGAATCCACTGCGTTTAAATAAAAATATTGCATCAGTTTTACACAAGGCTTTTCTGGACACTCCAAGACGCTCCACATGTCATTATGTGCCTCAACATTTGCCTAAAATAACCTCTAGATTACTCGACACAAGCAAGCACAGACTGTTTACAGATGGACAATGTTAACACAGACTGTTTACAGATGGACAATGCTAACACAGACTGTTTACATATGGACAATGCTAACACAGACTGTTTACATATGGACAATGCTAACACAGACCGTATACAGATGGACAATGCTAACACAGACTGTACACAATGCTAACACAGACTGTTTACAGATGGACAATGCTAACACAGACCGTATACAATGCTAACACAGACTGTTTACAGATGGACAATGCTAACACAGACCGTATACAGATGGACAATGCTAACACAGACTGTACACAATGCTAACACAGACTGTATACAATGCTAACACAGACCGTATACAGATGGACAATGCTAACACAGACTGTTTACAAGGCTAACAAACTAAATGTATCATCAGTATTGTACTTTAGCCAAAGTATATTTGTGTGTGTAGAATCTCATTTCGAACATATTTGCAGGTACAGCACTGCGGCAAAGCAGTCCTCGTTGGCCCCGCCTCCTTGCCCCTCCCACTCCGTGACGCCGCTGCTCACGGGCGGCAAGCTGCACGGCGGCGGCAGCTTCCGTAACGGCCGTAACCATGGTGACCACGGGCGGGCAGCAACACCGGACGACGGCGAGGACACGACAGACGATGCGGTGTCGCGGCGGAGCAACACTGAGCCCGAACTGTCAATCATCAGCTACAGCCCCGCCCACTACCGCCACGAGCTGACCGTAAGCCCCGCCCACCGCCACCTGACCAGCGCCGTGTGAAGACGAAGGTGAGACGTACATCGGGGAATACAATTATTTCTAAGACTTTATTGTATTCATTATTTTTTATTTTAATTTGTATTTATTGTTGAAGCTAGTTACGTACGGAGGATCCAGGAAGTGCCTCAGTCTGGGCCCAGGTCCACGATAGATTCTTAAAATGCAATTGTGCAAAAGTTGAATTGGTTTTTTGGTTTTTAAGACCAAATGAAGCAGGACAACAGTGAGAAAGGTCAGGACCAGGACCAGGGAGAGACCAGGGAGAGACCAGGGAGAGACCAGGGAGAGACCAGAGCGAGACCAGAGCGAGACCAGAGCGAGACCAGAGCGAGACCAGAGCGAGACCAGAGCGAGACCAGAGCGAGACCAGAGAGAGACCAGAGAGAGAGAGAGACCAGAGAAGGACCAGAGGGATACCAGAGAGAGACCAAAGACAGACCAGAGAGAGAGAGACCATAGTGAGACGAGAGAGAGAGAGAGACCAGAGAGAGAGAGAGAGAGAGAGACCAGAGGGAGACCAGAGAGAGACCAGAGGGAGACCAGAGAGAGACCAGAGGGAGACCAGAGAGATCAGAGAGAGAAAGACCAGAGAAGGACCAGAGAGAGAGACCAGAGAGAGACCAGAAACACACCAGAGAGAGAGAGACTAGAGTGAGAGCAGAAAGAGAGAGAGACCAGAGGGAGACCAGAGAGAGATCAGAGGGATTTTGAGGGATTAGAGAGAGACCACAGAGACCTCATCCATGTCGAGCAACATAGACAATTTCAACCATATTTTTCAACTTTATAAAGGAAAGAGCAGAACATGCAACAGCCCAAACTCCGACGGTGAGCGCTTCACTCCCCCAAACACAGCTCCACGGCTCGTTACGCTGTCATTATGCAAAGTAATGTCCCTAGTGTGACTCATGTGTAGCTTTAGATCCCCTCCCATCACTCCCTCCTCGATCCGAACCCAAGACTTCTGAGCTCTATCTTATCTATCTATTACTCATTAATTAGGCATTACTTACTGTGTCATAACGATATCTTACATTTTGGGCATTGTCTGGTCTTATTTTATGTAAAAGTATCATGGCAGCCCAGGAAATTTATTATTAACTCACATTTTGTTTTTGTTTTCTTCAGCTCGAGGCTTTGAGAACCACCCGAGAGAATCCGGAACTGTCCAAAAGTGGATTCTAAAAAAACAGGAGAGAACGGACTCACGATCAAATCCCAATAAACTTGTGTCTGTCTTTGACGCCGGAGACAGGAGAGGATTTACGAGAACAATCAGAATGTACGACGAGGTCTGCGCTGGCCGAGATGGACTCCGCGGTGCGAGCAGAGGCGGCGGCTCAGGCCTGGGGTCCAAACACAAAGAATCTCATTTAATAACAAAATTGTGAAAGTAAGTCCCAGAAATGAGCTACGCCATCGTCCGAGTGCGTCAGGTCTGTGTGTGTGCGAGTTTTAACGACGGAACAAGATTCAGGATTATTTTAGTTCGGTTTAACACTACAACTCCCAGAGCAGCCAATATACGGCTTTTCATTTTGGTCTAAGTCTAACTGTTCAACTCATGTGCATTTTTTTTTCCTTAATTTTGCAAATGTTAGTGTATCTATATGGCATTATTTTCCTAGCATGGTCTTACCACACCACGGTACTCTTTTCATTTGTACTAAGGTCTGGATTTGCTCCATTGACTCCGTTAACAGGTGGGAGGGGTTAACTCCTTTTGCAGATTGAAACCATTGGATCTGAGTTTACTGTGACGTATGTAATGAGCCCGAGTGAGTGAGGCATTTAGCATTTAGCCTAGCTTTAGCATTTAGCCTAGCTTTAGCCATGTCCTTTGCCGCTAACGGAGCCCGTGGGGAGTAGAGCCACAACATCTTTGCTTCAATGACATTTACTAAACATTCCTCTTGCTCCGGCTTCAGTTTCTTGATATTTGGATTGAACCAGAACAGATTATTTTACTATCGCATTCTCCGACAAACTACAACCAGCAACACCCGCCTCCCCCGCTCTCTGATTGGTCGGAGGGGATTCAACCGAGGAAACTGCAGCCACTAGGATCAGACCCAGACGTACATGTAGGAGATGACCATGGACCAGAGTTTACACATGGTAAGACCAGACGTACATGTAGGAAATGATCATGGACCAGAGTTTACACATGGTAAGACCAGACGTACATGTAGGAGATGATCATGGACCAGAGTTTACACATGGTAAGACCAGACGTACATGTAGGAAATGATCATGGACCAGAGTTTACACATGGTAAGACCAGACGTACATGTAGGAGATGATCATGGACCAGAGTTTACACATGGTAAGACCAGACGTACATGTAGGAGATGATCATGGACCAGAGTTTACACATGGTAAGACCAGACTACTGTTTTTCATGAAATCATTTTTTTTTTTTATAAGCAGTCATTTTGACAATTTCAGTCTCTTGGTTTCATTCCTTGCCACATCTTAAGCAGTTTTGCCCAAATTAAAGATAAAAAAAAAAAACATATGGATTAAATATTGTATTAATAGTGAAAAACAGGATTGTTGTCAGAGCTCCATTGTTTTGTCTGGGAGCAGTCAAAACGACGGCTCTGGTAGTTCTTGTCGTTTCATATTTATGGGTGTCCAACTCTCTATTGCAAGTGCTAGTTACCATAGCAACACATTGTTAACGTGTGGAGGTTAGCATTTAGCCGTTAGCATTTCAACAAACGTTTTTTGCTGTGACCAGTTTTTGCGCTTAATAAAAGTGAGTAAAGGCAAAATAATCTTATAAATACTTACTTTTAATAATCTAGTGCAAAACTAAATTTTTTTGGGGAAAACTCCAAATTCCGTGGGATTGAATGGGAGCAGTCAAATCGACGGCTCTGGTAGTTCCAGTAGTGTGATATTTCTGGGAGTCCTGGTGTTAATCTCATGTTTTTCTCTTTTATTTCTCATGTTTGCAAAGACATTAAGCTCAGACCAAACGTTTTGCCAAATTCATATGCAATAAACCCAGTGTGGCAGTTCCAGTCTCGGCCTCCAGGGGGACCACACGGCACTGGTTTAAAATGTGTGTGATTTTATTATTTGTATAGAACGTCTCTGGTGTTTTTTGTGGACATTTCTGACAAACGCTGGAGATTAGAACCAGAGCAACACTGTGATTAAAACCATGAGAGAGATTTTCCACCGACGAGACCCCAAGAGCCTGAAGCCGGAGCCGCGGAAACAAACTCTTTTTGATGACGAAAAAAATTATCTGTGGAGCTGCAACGTGAAAGCCAGTGTTGTGTCTAGATGGTCTGACCGCCGATCGGGTCTGTGGCTAACTTCCGGCGGCTAACTTAAGGTGGCTAACTTCCGGCGGCTAACTTCCGGTGGCTAACTTCCGGTGGCTAACTTCCGGCGGCTAACTTCCGGTGGCTAACTTCCGGCGGCTAACTTCTGGTGTCTAACTTCCGGCGGCTAACTTCTGGTGACTAACTTCCGGTGGCTAACTTTCTGAGGGTAGCATTCTGTGGCTGACTTCCTGGATAAAAAGAATATGGTCTTCTGTTGATTAATAATAAACACATTAAATGAATCCTAATGAATGCATCGTACTGTATCTAAGCTGATGAACAACAGTGTGTTCAAACCAAATATTTTATTAACTCTGGTTTTTATTCTGCCAGTTTTCTGCGCAAACAAAATCTGTTGTTTTAGGTTAATTTTATGGAAAGTTTACATATTTGAAATTTCCCGGAATTTTGCAACTCTATGGAAAATACATTCATTCGATTTCATTTATTGTTTATATTATTCACCTACGGACAAGCAGCTGTTGAGTTAGACACATGTAGTTAGCCACCGGAAGTTAGCCACAGGATGTTAGCCATAGGAAGTTAGCCACAGGAAGTTAGCCACAGGAAGTTAGCCGCAGGAAGTTAGCGCATACGTCAGACCGTCTCCACAGAGCAGCGGCCGTACAATAGTGTGTAGTGTGAGGTCCTCTCTGAATAAAAAGGAGAATTTTGTTTTTATTACGTCTGTGTGAATGTCCACTCATTCGGACCATCCCCAGACCTCACACCACAAGGTCTTAAAGCTGAGGTACGTAACTTCATCAAATCCATGTCTGTAGTTCCAGGCTCTACAACAGTTTGTTTGTATCTCAGCCAATCAGCTCTCAGCCAATCAGCTCTCAGCCAATAAGCTCTCAGCCAATCAGCTCTCAGCCAATCAGCTCTCAGCCAATCAGCTCTCAGCCAATCAGCTCTCGGCCAATCAGCTCTCGGCCAATCAGCTCTCAGCCAATCAGCTCTCGGCCAATCAGCTCTCGGCCAATCAGCTCTCAACCAATCAGCTCTCAGCCAATCAGCTCTCAGGACCATTACCTCTGTACCTGGAGAGGGATCAGGACCAGGACTTGGAGAGGACTAGAATCAGGACCGGGCTCTGGAGAGAACTGAGACCAGGACCGGGCTCTGCAGAGGACCAGGACCCGAGTAGTGGAGGACCAGGACCTTTGCACTTGTCCCAGGCCCTGGAGAGGACTAGGACCAGGACTGGGTTCTGGAGAGGACTAGTACTAGGATCAGGTTCTGGAGAGGACTAGGACTAGGATCAGGCCCTGGAGAGGACTGGGACCAGGACAGACCTCTGACAGAACGTTCTGTTTGGAAGAATTATTTTAATACGTTTGAGACACAGTCACAGTTTATAAGGCTGGCACTGCCCTCTGCTGGCGAACACTGGAACTACAGCGGTGTGTTTAGCCTTCCACCTGGTCCTGATCAAAGCTGGGGTACAGTCATGACATAAGCAAGGCAAGTTTATCTGTATAGCACAATTCCTACACAAGGCAACTCAAAGTGCTGAACAAAACCAGATATTAACACATACAAGGCAACAAAATCATTAATACTCACAGTAGAAAGATAAAAATATAAAATCCTTCAGTTGTAGCAGAAACAGAAGTGTTTTTAACGCTTGAAGGTTCTCGTTATTAAACAAAAGTGAGCGCGACTGCAGAGACCGACCGAGGGAAAGGCAACACAGGAAAACCTCCAATCAGCCACGTCTCGCTCTAACCCGCCGCAGAAGTCAACTCAATTCATTTTTCTATCGCCCTCAACGCAGCAGGACACTGAAAATATCGACTAAAAATAAAGCCGTTTTTGTATTTTTCTTTAAAAGTGGAAAATTCATGGTCTACTCTCAGATATTTTTGCTTGAAACAGTACCTTTCCTCTAAAATTAGCTATTTTTCTTGTTTTTTTTCATGGAGCCACTTTTTGCAGTGAGTTTTCTCAGAGGACTTTACACAACAACGACGATCAGAGAATCAAACCGTTTAAACACAAGAAATGCAATGATAGAAAACACACAGAGACATTGGTCCGTAAATGTAGCTACATGTGGAGTGCCCCCAAAGAGAAAATCACAGAATGAACTGGGAAAATGCAGAAATAGTTAGAACAGAGGAACATAAACACAAAACATGGAGACAAGAGACAGTTTAAATCAGGAAGTGAGGCCCACGGACCATCAACGGAGACGAGGGGGCCTTCACCTTGACTCACACTCCCACAGACCACAGCTGGTAAAGAAGCAGTACGAACTTCTTCAAAACCTTAAACATAATTCACTTTTTACATTCGTTGGGAGCAGACCGACCGAGTGTGACATCACCACAGTGTTAGCCTCAATGCGGAAGAAGCCGATTCGAAGCTAAGCTAGCTGGAACCAATTAATGAGCACATCTTTTCCGACGCCGTTAGCTTCGTGCCGTAGCAGTGGCAGTCGTGTTGCTAAGACGGTTGCTAAGGCCTGCTGGAGTTTCACCTTAGAATGAAGGCATCTGATTGGTCGATATTTACGGCACTTGCAGAGACGATATAGCGATATAAACACCAGGATCACAGAGTTTAAAGCCCAAAACGGTTACTGAGCTACAGGAGTTTACTTTTACATGGAAGTCGATAGTGGCCAGAGCAAGTTGGAGCAAAACTTTGTCCATGAGCGCCTCTCTTTTTGGGTTCATTGAGCTGGCGGGTAAGCATCTGTATACTGGCTATGGCTTACTAGCGTCGATCTAACAGCATTTGGCAAATTAGGCAAATTAGGATTTTTCTGACAAATAGAAGATCCCTCTACATCACTAGTGGACTCTTTGGGCTGCAAGCTGATTGGCTGAGAGCTGATAGGCTGAGAGCTGATTGGCTGAGAGAGGGGGTCCTATTTTTTGTCACTTTTCTGTCTGTAAAAGTCAAACTAAAGATGTGACAGAGGCCAAAAAACACACATATAAGCAGCTGTTTTAGAGCCGAGAACCAGAGACATGGGTTTTATGAGTTCCTTTCGTGGTGTGAAAGTTACGTACCTCAGCTTTAAAGGACACAGACTCATTCCTCGTTTGTTATCTTTGTGTAAACGGAGCTCCGGTGTCACGCCCTGACCCTGCGCCGGGGTTTCTCTTGTAAATGTGCAGAAGGCAGAGTTGGTTGGAGGCAGCTTCACCTCAGAACACAGTGTAAAGTCTATTTTGTGATTTATTTATTAAAAACATCAAACAAACGAGTGGCGGGGTTTCTCACATGGATTCACTGAAGGAGAGAAGTGTGGTGTGGATTCAGGAGGATGTGAGTCCGTCTTTAGGTCCGTCTTTAGGTGAAGAATATGGACTAAATGGTGAGATCAGAGAGAGAGAACAAAGAGAGAGAGAGAGAGCAGAGAGAGGGAGACCAGAGAGGGAGAAACCAGAGAGAGAGAGAGACCAGAGAGAGGGAGAGACCAGCGAGAGAGATCAGAAAGAGGGAGACCAGAGAGGGATCAGAAAGAGAGACAGGCTCAGATGTGACTTCAGCACCACGGACAGCTCCTGTTTAAAGACGTGGGGACAGCGCCGCTCTGTGGCCGAGGAGGGGAGAGCACACACCCAGCTCCGACAGTGATGACAGATGCATTTATGTATTCATTCCTTTGACTGGGACTGCACTCAGAGTTAGAGAGAGAGAGAGAGAGGAAACCGGAAACACAAACAGAGCTACAGCTAACGCTAACTGTCTCCTTTATACACATGCAGGATTTAAAATGTTAGGTTTGATTTCCTTCACCAAAAGTGATACCAGAGAGAGAGACGAGGGAGAGACCAGAGAGAAACCAGGGATACATCAGAGAGAGAGACATACATACTGACAGACAGAGAGAGAGAGAGAGAGAGAGAGACAGACAGAGAGACATACATACTGACAGACAGACAGACAGAGAGAGAGAGAGACATACTGACAGACAGAGAAGGCGAGACAGACAGAGAGAGAGACATACTTACTGACAGAGAGAGAGACAGAGAGAGAGACATACATACTGACAGACAAAGAGAGAGAGGCATACATACTGACGGACAGAGAGAGAGAGAGAGAGACATACATACTGACGGACAGAGAGAGAGAGAGAGAGAGAGAGACATACATACTGACAGACAGAGAGAGAGAGACATACATACTGACAGACAGAGAAGGCGAGACAGACAGAGAGAGACATACTTACTGACAGAGAGAGAGACAGAGAGAGAGGCATACATACTGACGGACAGAGAGACAGACGGATAAAGAGAGAGACAGACAGAGAGAGAGAGAGAAATGCAGGTGTCCAGCAGCAAAAACAAATAAATACATAACTCTAAAAGTTACCAACAATAGTAAAAAAGTGACATCACATGTAACAATTTGCTTCTGTTTTTTTAGTTGTATCATATTTACGTGATTTCGCGCGCTCCGTCACCATGGAAACCCGCCCGGTCTCATTCATGCTCAGCTCATGTGCGCTCTCTGACACGCGCATGCGCAGATCGCATGTGTGGCTGTTCGGAGGCGGAGGCTTCGGCAAACAACGGCAAACCTCGGAGCTCCTCGGACACGCATGCGCACTGTGGGCTCTGCGCCAAATGTGACAAGTGACGGGGAATAACGAAGACAAACGCGATCCTGGATTTTCAAAATAAGATCTACAGCCTCAGTCCTGGGTCTACAGCCTCAGTCCTGGATCTACAGCCTCAGTCCTGGGTCTCCTATCCTGGACCTACAGCCTCAGTCCTGGCTCTACAGCCTCAGTCCTGGCTCTACAGCCTCAGTCCTGGATCTACAGCCTCAGTCCTGGATTTACAGCCTCAGTCCTGGGTCTACAGTCTCAGTCCTGGATCTACAGCCTCAGTCCTGGATATACAGCCTCAGTCCTGGGTCTACAGCCTCAGTCCTGGATCTACAGCCTCAGTCCTGGGTCTACAGCCTCAGTCCTGGATCTACAGCCTCAGTCCTGGATCTACAGCCTCAGTCCTGGGTCTACAGCAGGGGTCTCCAACCTGTAGCTCGGGAGCCACCAGTAGCTCGCCAGCCCCTTACAGGTAGCCCGCCAAAGAAATTAGACTTTAACAAATACACTTAAACGAATACTTTTTGACCCATTACATATCTATTATAAGTATAAATATAGGGTTATACAGTAATATGGTGTATTTTATATGTGTTCTCCAAGTTTAGTCGTAATTATTAGATCCATTTTATTATGACTGCAAAAATGAGTAGCTCTCTGCCTGTTTGTTTGTATAAAAGTAGCTCTCTGATTAAAAAAGGTTGGAGACCCCTGGTCTACAGCCTTTGTAGATGCAGATCCTTCTCTCAACACGGGTCTATAAGTTTCTCACTTTTTTCCCTGTTTTTCTTCAGTGGTTTCTTGCAGCAGGTCTAGGGACAGTGATAATCTGGGAAATAAAAGTGCATTTATGAACTCCTCTGTTTATTTCTATAAAAACAGATTGGAGTATTTTACAGTACCCCTGAGTTCAAACTGGTTGATTCTTTCATTTTAATTTTGGTGGATCGACAACTGTGTAAAGTCCTTCGAGACGTCTGCTGCTGTGACTCAGGGCTGCTCACAAACACATTGAAATCCTTTGATTTTTGTTTTTACTTTGTCACACTGCACCGGAAGCGCGTTTGCCGCTGCTCTGCGCGCGCTTTACGCACGCATTACGCACGTCTCTCCGCTGCCGTGGAAACGACATGAATCCCGGAGCGTCGCCCATCTGAGACGGCCTCAGATTTTACACTTCAAAGCGTCTCTCCTCCGCCGCCGCCGCCTCCTCCTCCTCCTCATCTCCATCCGCACATCCATCCATCCTCTTGGAGCCATGACCCGGGCACACGCCTCAGCCTGACCGCCCGACGCACCGCCTGACCCTCCCAGACGCTCCCAGGTAAAAAGCGCATTCACAAATCCTCTTTGGAGAACACACATGTCTTTGGATCTGCTCCTGCCTCCGTGAGTCCGCTCCTCCTGCTCTCCTGTCCCCGGTGCGTCTCTCTCTGTGCCCGTTATCCGCCGCTTCAGTCGCATCAGACTCTGCAGACTCTGGCCGTGGCTTTACTCTGTCCCAGCCTCAGACATGAGTCTAAATGTGTGTGTAGTAAATACGTCATGGAGCGGTGTAGGGGCAGGGGCGGTGGCAGAGGCAGAGGTGGCTGTATTTAGGCGCGGGTGGCTGCACGGTGGGGCCTGTACGGGACCGGAGTGCAAATGAGATCTCAGTCTGACGGTTTCACAGATGTTGGTCTTTAACAGAAAGTGTTGCTTCCTCCAGCAGCATTCACCAGTTTGTCCATTTATGTTTGATACAACTGCAGTGTTTGGTTTAGATCCCGCTGCATCTGTCCCACAGACGTTTGGTGTATATATAATATATTAATTATAATTATAATATATAAAACATCCAATAGCTGCTATGCTTCCTAACTATAAGATCAGAATTCCTTTATTCGTCCCACATTGGGGAAATGTCGTTGTTGCAGCGCACAGACAGGACAGTAGAGCACACAGGGAGCACACACACTGCAATTTCTGAGCTAACATAATAACTGTAGATGCTGAAACTACTAATGCTTCATAAGAGCAAGTAACTCTCTATTTCTGTATTTATATCCACATATATACAGTATTTATATCCACATATATACATGTATACAGTATTTATATCCACATATATACATGTATACAGTATTTATATCCACATATATACATGTATACAGTATTTATATCCACACATATACATGTATACAGTATGTGTAGTACTCACATAGACATATAAATATAAATATATCCTCCAGCCTCTAGATGTGGCTGGTGCTGGTCCCACCTGTGTGTATCTAAAGCAGTGCAGCAGGTGTTACTGTGTGAAGAGCACGGGGGAAGAAAAGGGAATTTTGTGCATATTTTTGAGAATTGGACTCATTTTTGGACCAGAAAACACGCGTCTGAAATCCCACCAAACGTTGAAAAGTATATATTTGTGACTTACTTTACTTCATGACAGCGTGATAAGATGAACTGATACTTATTTAATCCTGAGGAGAAAGGCAGGTGTGAAACAGACACAGCAGGTGCCACAGTGGGGCGGCTGCGGCTGTAAAGTGCCAGACTGTGGTTGTGTCCTTAGGCAAGACACTTCCCCCACATTAGAATGAGTCTGGTGTGTGTGAGTTGTTGGTGGTGGTGGGAGGGGCCGATGGCACAGACTGGTCGCCTCGCTTCTGTCAGTGTGCCCCAGGGCAGCTGTGGCTACTGTAGTTTAGCGCTGTTTAAAACCAATGCATTATTATTGTCGCAGTTTTTACTTTCACAGACATGTCAGTTGTTCTCATTGTACAGTCTGACAGCAGCGGCTCATACGTCACTTTGTTCCCGTGGTGTCGGTGCCGAGGCTCGTCACAGATGGAGACACATGTTTTTTGGAGTAGGAGATGACTGGAATGTACAGTTTTTCAGATTTGAATCGAGATCGGTCTAAGAACTGTTTGTCTCATTAGTGTCAGATCTGTAACTGTGACATGATGAACTGGTTAAAGCTCGGGTCCGTGACTTTCGAACAATAACAACAGAACATTTTACTTTTACCAATCGCTCTGTCGTAGTTTTCAGGCAAACTTAAGTTTCTTCTGGTCTCTGGACTCTGGACTCTGGTCTCAGGACTCAGGACTCTGGACTCTGGTCTCTGGTCTCTGGACTCAGGTCTCTGGACTCAGGACTCAGGACTCAGGACTCAGGACTCAGAACTCTGGTCTCTGGTCTCTGGACTCAGGTCTCTGGACTCAGGACTCAGGTCTCTGGACTCAGGACTCAGGACTCAGGACTCAGGACTCAGGACTCTGGTCTCTGGTCTCTGGTCTCTGGACTCTGGACTCTGGACTCTGGACTCTGGACTCAGGACTGGACTTTGGGCTTGGCTTGAGACTGGGCTTGGGACTGTGTTGGGACTCAGATCTGGCTTTGAGACCGGGACTGGAACTCAGGACTAGTCTCAGGACTGGTCTAAGGAAGGGGTGGGAACCTCAGGGTACTTCACAATACGATACGATACGATACGCGATACAAAGCTCACGATAACGATTATATCACAATACGACGATTATCGATATATTGGTCAGAAATATAATGTTAAGTGAAAAAATACACTTTATTTCATGATAATTGGAATGGAGCCAAAAGTATTGATACTAACTTTAAAAAAAAATTGATACTTGGCAAATGCATATCGATAATCGATCACGGGAGAAAGTATCACAATATATCGTTATATCGATATATCGTCACACTCCTAGTCTCAGGACTGGTCTCAGGACTGGTCTCAGGACTGGTCTCAGGACTGGTCTCAGGACTGGTCTCAGGACTGGTCTCAGGACTAGTCTCAGAACTAGTCTTAGGACTGGTCTCTGGTCTCAGGACTAATCTCAGGACTGGTTTCAGGACTGGTCTCAGGACTAGTCTCTGGACTGGTCTCAGGACTGGTCTCTGGTCTCAGGACTGGTCTCAGGACTAATCTCAGGACTGGTTTCAGGACTGGTCTCAGGACTGGTTTCAGGACTGGTCTCAGGGCTGGTCTCTGGACTGGTCTCTGGACTTGTCTCAGGACCGGTCTTAGGACTGGTCTCAGGTTCAGGACTTGGAGACAAAAACCTTGGTCTCACGTCTGCTGTAAACGGTTTCCAGATGGGACCCAGAGCAAAGCTTCTCAAACTGAGGTCCTCGCGGCCACGGCCCAAACGTCCAAATGTCAAGAATCCATTTCAGAATTTTCTCATTTTATAAATTAGTCCAAATTATTTAACAGTCACTGATAAAGATTAGAGTTAAAGACAAAACCATGTGGATCTCTAAAGTCTAAACTCTGATAGATCTGGTCTCTCTCTGGTCTCTCTCTGGTCTCTCTCTAGTCTCTCTCTGGTCTCTCTCTAGTCTCTCTCTGGTCTCTCTCTGGTCTCTCTCTGGTCTCTCTCTGGTCTCTCTCTGGTCTCTCTCTGGTCTCTCCCTCTGGTCTCTCTCTAGTCTCTCTCTGGTCTCTCTCTGGTCTCTCTCTGGTCTCCCTCTGGTCTCTCTCTAGTCTCTCTCTGGTCTCTCTCTGGTCTCCCTCTGGTCTCTCTGGTCTCTCTCTGGTCTCTCTCTAGTCTCTCTCTGGTCTCTCTCTGGTCTCTCTCTGGTCTCTCTCTGGTCTCCCTCTGGTCTCTCTGGTCTCTCTCTGGTCTCTCTCTAGTCTCTCTCTGGTCTCTCTCTGGTCTCTCTCTGGTCTCTCTCTGGTCTCTCTGGTCTCTCTCTGGTCTCTCTGGTCTCTCTCTGGTCTCTCTCTGGTCTCTCTCTGGTCTCTCTCTGGTCTCCCTCTGGTCTCTCTGGTCTCTCTCTGGTCTCTCTCTGGTCTCTTTCTGGTCTCCCTCTGGTCTCTCTGGTCTCTCTCTGGTCTCTCTGGTCTCCCTCTGGTCTCTCTGGTCTCTCTCTGGTCTCTCTCTGGTCTCTCTCTGGTCTCACTCTGGTCTCCCTCTGGTCTCTCTCTGGTCTCCCTCTGGTCTCTCTGGTCTCTCTCTGGTCTCTCTGGTCTCTCTCTGGTCTCTCTCTGGTCTCTCTCTGGTCTCTCTGGTCTCCCTCTGGTCTCTCTGGTCTCTCTCTGGTCTCTCTCTGGTCTCTCTCTGGACTCTCTGGTCTCTCTCTGGTCTCTCTCTGGTCTCTCTCTGGTCTCCCTCTGGTCTCTCTCTGGTCTCCCTGTGGTCTCTCTCTGGTCTCTCTCTAGTCTCTCTCTGGTCTCTCTCTGGTCTCTCTCTGGTCTCTCTCTGGTCTCTCTCTGGTCTCTCTCTGTTCTCTCTCTGGTCTCCCTCTGGTCTCTCTGGTCTCTCTCTGGTCTCTCTCTGGTCTCTCTCTGGTCTCCCTCTGGTCTCTCTGGTCTCTCTCTGGTCTCTCTGGTCTCTCTCTAGTCTCTCTCTGGTCTCTCTCTGGTCTCTCTCTGGTCTCTCTCTGGTCTCCCTCTGGTCTCTCTCTGGACTCTCTGGTCTCTCTCTGGTCTCTCTCTGGTCTCTCTCTGGTCTCTCTCTGGTCTCCCTCTGGTCTCTCTCTGGTCTCCCTGTGGTCTCTCTCTGGTCTCTCTCTAGTCTCTCTCTGGTCTCTCTCTGGTCTCTCTCTGGTCTCTCTCTGGTCTCTCTCTGGTCTCCCTCTGGTCTCTCTCTGGTCTCTCTCTGGTCTCTCTCTGGTCTCTCTCTGGTCTCTCTCTGGTCTCCCTCTGGTCTCTCTCTGGTCTCTCTCTGGTCTCTCTCTGGTCTCTCTCTGGTCTCTCTCTGGTCTCTCTCTGGTCTCCCTCTGGTCTCTCTCTGGTCTCCCTGTGGTCTCTCTCTGGTCTCTCTCTGGTCTCTCTCTGGTCTCTCTCTGGTCTCTCTCTGGTCTCTCTCTGGTCTCTCTCTGGTCTCCCTCTGGTCTCCCTCTGGTCTCTCTCTGGTCTCTCTCTGGTCTCTCTCTGGTCTCTCTCTGGTCTCTCTCTGGTCTCTCTCTGGTCTCTCTCATATTTGATCAGTTTTTACAGTGACTCTTCTATGGACTTTTCTCCTGCTGCTGTTATAAAGTTAGGTCCCTGAGCTTTAATCCTGACAGACTCTGGACTCTGGTCTCACAAAGAAACTGTGTCCTCAGCATCAGACTCATTCATCCGCAAAGTCACATGACCTCGGCTCCCACCGCTCTGGACTCCACAGACTCAGGGACTAGTCTGGTCCCAAAACCAGGTCTGTGGACTCGATAGCAGACCCAGGGACTAGTCTGGTCCCAAAACCAGGTCTGTGGACTCGATAGCAGACCCAGGAACTAGTCTGGTCCCAAAACCAGGTCTGTGGACTCTACAACAGACTCAGGGACTAGTGTGGTCCCAAAACCAGGTTTCTGGTCCCAAAACCAGGCCTGTGGACTCTACAGCAGACTCAGGGACTAGTCTGATATGAAAACCATATCCAGGACTCAGACTGTAGATCCAGGACTGAGGCTGTAGACCCAGGACTGAGGCTGTAGATCCAGGACTGAGGCTGTAGATCCAG